TTATCCAGGGATCTTTAAATGTAATTTTTTGGTTTATTTCATAGAGATCAAGATGATCCAGGGAGGAAGGGGGCACACTATGTGATTTGCCTTCCCTTCAGGTTGTCCATTGGGATTTTCTTTTAGTAAGTCAAAATGATATTTTACTAATTTACAGTGTTGGAATGACGGAGAGAAGGAGGGAGGAAGAGAGTCACGGAGGGAAGATGAACAAATGAATGAATGAATAAGGAGGGGTAGATTTTTCCTTACCTAAAATGAAATGTCATACCTACCACCATTTAGGCATCAAATATTTTCCTTTTCCTTCCTTTTTTTGTGGTGCTAGGGGTTAAACTGAGGAGGTCTTTGCACATGCTACGCCAGTGTTCTGCTACTGAACTATATCCTCAGCCCTGCACACCAAATATTTTATCTGATGGTTCTTTTGTGAGCATAGTATTTGGGATACTTTACTAATAAATAAAAACTGCAAACATTTTCAGAGTTGGACTCCTTGAGCTGGGGGTAGAGGGAAAAAGGGAGAAAGGGTTTATATTTTCAAGGGATGGTCACTGAGGGTTATTTACAGTGATCCCTCACATATCACAGGAGTTACGTTCCACAGACCCCCATGATAGGTGAAAATCTGTGAAGTAGCGGAATTATATTTACTTTATTATTTATATATATTTTAAAGCTCTATAAACCCTTCTCACACTCCTATAAACCTTTCCCACTCTCTTATTAACCTTTCCCACACTCTTACAAACCCTTCATATGCTCTTAAACACTTTCTACACTCTTAAGTCTATGTAATTTTAACAACATGTAAAATTCTATATGGGTACTCACCAGTGAAGTATACTACAACTTGAATGATGAAGATCATGAATTATGTAGCTGTGAAGTACTGATGGCGATGAAGGTGATGACAATGAGATGCATGTACTGCATAGCCAGGAAGAGCAAGGGGAGATGCTGAAGGTATGGGCACAGTGCAGGAGAGCAAACAGACCAATGCTGCAGTCACTGAGCCAATCAGTGCCCAGGATACAGAATAGAGTGCTGTGGTTGGTCGCCTTCCAGGCGATCAGCCAATAGTGTGACGTGTACAATCTCATGTTGGCAAATTTGCACAAACGGTAGTGGTGTACTGCATTTCCATTATGTACAGTATAGTATTCATCCGCTGATGAAATATATACTGTATTTTATTTCAATTTGATATTCTTTTAATGTTTGAATTAACATTTTTATATTTTTTATATTGTTTTAAATTTAGGCAAACATAATTAAAATCATAAATATTATATAAATACCTATATACCACAAAATCCCACAATATAATGAAAACTCTGAGATACAGAATTTGATATATTTTTTTTAAAAACCCGTGATATAGTGAAGCTGCAATAAGTAAACCACGATATAGTGAGGAATGACTGTATTTATTTATTGGTTTTTTGAGACAAAGTCTTACTTTGTAGTTTAGTTTCATTTCTTTGAGACAGGATCTCTCCTTGAACTCATTATGCTGCCCAGGTTGACCTTGAACCCATGGTGATACTTGAGCCTCACCTCCTGAGTGCTGGAATTAGAGGTGTGCACCACCATACCCTCTATTAAGAGGTTTTTTTTTAAGAAGGCTACCTTATTGTTTAATATATATATGTATTAATGACAAATTATCTACACAGTGGTTTGTAAAGTCTATATAAATATCAGAAAATGAATAGCTTATTTCAAATGCCACATTCTAGTTTTTTATAGATGATTTAATTTCAAATACTACCAAGATGAAAGAGGAGATAAGGAAATAATATCTATAAATCCTCCAATTTAGTAAGTTTTATTTCCTAGTTTTGTTGTACACTACAGAAAAAGGTCTACTGTGGGTGATTATCAATCCACCATCCACGAACCTGTTTACATTATTCAAACATGCAAAATTCTAAAGTAAAATTTATGTAACAAACCTCCTAAGTTAAAGCTTCCCTATTAGCAGGTCTTTCTAAGTCCTACCCACTAGGGTACTTAATAGAATGTAGCTCATGTAGTGGTTACCATCTGCCAAACAGAGCAAACTGTTGATTTGTGTTGAATAAGCCAAATATGCATATACTATTTTAAATTATATACAATCAAGTGCTATATTTAGGTAGCATAGAAAACCTATTTCCTTTATCAACCAGGAGAAGCAAGGGCTAATGTGAGTTAACTATGAAAATAAAAAAGGGTGAATCACTTCTCTAAATGAAAGAAAATCACTCTATCTGAAAAACCACCTTATATGTAACAAAAATTTCCACAAAAAATTCCATTCTGCTGTGTGCCAGGACAATTAAGCAAGATAAAGTTAAGTAAATGGTCAGTAATCTACCCAGTAGAAGTGTTTCAAAAATTTAGAAAAGGAATCTCAGAATTCTTACTTCCAAATTAGTCTCATTATAACCACCCCAGAGTTCTCTGCTGTTTTTATTGCACTGTTAGAAAAAGAAGTGCAGTCAACTAAGTCAAGTTCATACCTAACGTCATTATATTGCTGGTGGTTATTGCCAATTATTTCATGGCAAAGAAATGAAATTATAAAGTATAACCATTAACATTTCCATGGTCATTATCTGTTTTCTCATTACACATACTGTATAAAGTTATTTTATAAAGGGATAGCACATCGCACTTATTTTAGCAAACAAAATGGACAAAGGCAAGCTTACACTGGCACAGTGTAAGTTCTTGTAAGTACTAATCCAAGTGTGGACTCAAGCTCTTGGTGTCACAATTTTAAGTAAAAATACATTAGTTGAGCAGTCATAAAAATGAGCACACACTTTTGCTCTGGACCAAAAACAAACTTTAAAAATATCACTTTGCTATTTTCTGATCCATTTGGTTTAATTTCAAGCATGTTGTTAATACCTTACGTAAAACAATCATGGAGATACAAAAAGACCACTACGTCAACAGACCCATCACTAGTCACAACATACATGTGTGGTAGAAATCTTGGTTTATTTCTTCAAATTTTCTCATTCTAGAAATAGGGAACTAAAAAAAGGGTGGGTGAGATGGAGAAAAAAAAAATGGTTATAACTGGTCCATGATTTAAGAAAGCACTACAAATGAAAACAATTAAGCACAGAAAATAATGATTGTATGTATAAAGGAAGCTTGCAACAAGAAAAATACCACTAAATACTACATTACAGTGACTTGATTCTCATTGATTTACCTATTATTTTTCGAGAACACAGTTATATGAACTAAAATACACTTCTTTGTTAAATGTAGGCAGAAGTACCAGTAAAAGGTAAAATTATGGGGAATCAAAATATATTAGAAGACTACCTCTGAGGCTGTAACACAGGGCTGGCTAGAAGACCTATTTTAAATAGTGCATATATCGTGTCCTATTCTCCATGGACTGAAACGGATAATTTAGATGACTGTGAACACTGATTTTCCAATTTTAACCTAGTAAATATCTGCATCTATTAAATGGAAATTGTTCTGCAAAACAACACTTGTAGTTTTTAAGAATCAGAAAATGACAAAAATGTCAAGTTTCTAGGGGAAATTTTTGCTGGTATATTTTCAAAAGGATCCTGTTAGAGGTTGGATGAGATACGTATGTCTTGTGAGATTAAAAAAAATCCTGTAGAACCTCAGAATTCTCTCCACCTTGGAGGTGGTTTGAAAAAAGTGAGTAACAGCGTATGTTTATCACCACCGTAATATACATTGATTCATGCCTATTATCTTTCATGTATCCTCTCAACTCTCAGAGATGGGCACGGGTTTACAGAGGAAGGATCAATCTCAACTCTGCTTCTAATTGTAATCTGCCTGGTTTACTAGTGAGTCTTCCCCTTCCCCTGTTCCACCCTCCTCTCCCTAGCCAGATTACGAGCACTTTACAGGCAGGAAACAGAATTTCATTATTTTATTGTCCAAAAATTTCTGTAGCACAGAGTAATCACTTAAGGTTGAGTAAATGAAAGAATTTGACAAATGACATAAAACAATTAAGAGATAAGAAGAGAACTGAAATGCGGGTTTTGGGGGTCTTCCCTTTTCCCTTACATTATTACAAGGCCTAAAAGAAGCCTGATTCACCAGTTCACGGACTGAATGCCAAACCAGAAATTATCATGAAAAAGAACTTTTGTCTCCCTAACCTTTAAAAGTTTGAATGCCCCTGTTTATGAAGGGCGATTTGAAAATTACGTTCTTTGGAGAGTTTAGACACTTGGACAAGAAAGAGTTCCTTATTTTTAAATCTAAGTATGGGGCAGAGTGGGCTAGACAGGAAAAGTTGGATTTCCGTTTGTTAATTGGTTTGGTTAAATCGTGGCTTTGAAAGAAGGCGCAATGCCAAACACTCAAGAGAGAAACGTATCAGGACGTTAGACGCAGTCTGAGAGGCTATCCCTGGGAGTGAAAACTTGGACACAGAGTAAAGATGCTAAATTAGGACAGGTCAGCAACTCAGAGCCCCACTCTTCCATCTTACCGGACACCACGATCTCTTGACTCAATTTCTTATTTAAAGCCTATCAGGACCTGGTTGGGGCGCCTCTTTCTTAACATTCCTGCATCCCCCCATCCCTAAACTTAACACTCACCAGTGTAGTGATTATTGGTATGGATTTTGTGAGAGAGAAAAAAAGTTAAGTCCACAACAGAGAACTGGTCGCCTCAATGCGACCAGTCTAGCTGGACCACTCGCCATCAGGCCCCTCCCCCATGCAAAACGACGGGGTACCCATCCGATTCTTCCCCGGCCTCAGAAGGAATCCCTCCTCCCTTCCTCTGTCCCACTCAAAAGCAACTGCTGGTCCTGTGCTGCTTTCCCAGGACTCCGTAAAGGCAATACGGTGGTGGCAGGGGCAGAACCCCAGTCCTTCCGCCCAGGTTTTAGGATTGGCGGCGGGTGGCGATGTGTAACTGTTTTCCCTGCCACCTTTTAAGTAACAGTGAACACAATCCCGAGGAAACTGGAGCTTGGCACGACTTACCTGTGAGCCCACCTCCGCCTTCCTCCCCGTAGCCTCGACGCCGTTGCAGCACGAAGTAGTCGTTGGACCTTTCCATCAGCCACAGCTTCAGCGCATTTTTCAGAAGCACTTCCTCAGGCTTCAGCCACATCGCGAAGAACTTTGCGTCGCCGGATAGCAGCGATTTATTTGCCCTGCTCACCTCACCTCCAACCTGTTTTCCTCCCTCTACTTCTCCTCCCCCCAAATCTTCCTCGGGCTGCAGCGGCTCAGGTTCAGGTTTTCCACACTTCCCCCAACCCTCTCTTCTCTCCCACGTAGGCAGAGAGGTTGCCAATTCCCTCCCACAGCGCTACCGCCCGACTAGGAAATAGCCCCGCTCCGTTATCCCTTTGGGAGTTGTAGTTTTCTGTCCGCTTTTCTCTACTCAGGCAACTACGGCTCCAGACTACACTTCCCACAATACATTGGGGCGAGTACTGGGTGGGGGATGCTTTCAAAGCCGGTCCCGCCACCAGTTAAGTGTGTTGCCTGTCTAAAGTTTAAGGGTTTGTTGTTGTTGTTGGTCAAATAAGTGATCCTAAGTAGAAAGGTATTGCTTGCTTGCTCCTCAATGTTTTACAGCAAGGACACCCACAAAGTTTCTGGAATTTTAGAGAAACCACTCATTCCTGGAAGCAGCAGTAGCAGCAACCAACATTTAGCGCTAACTAGGTCTAGTACTCAGGGGATCTCAGGTAATACACACAGAAGTCTGTGAAGTAGATCTTCGCCACTTCTCACGTTAATAAACGAAAGCACTAACTAGTGAGGAGATTTATTCAAGGTCAGAGAGACAGTGTTACAATTCCTTACCTAAATTCAAAAGTCTTGTCAAGATTGAGCTCTTTCAGCTCATAGAGAAAGAACATAAAATCTCCGGAAGACACATAATTTCTTCATGCCATGCCCTTCTCCTTTCCCTCACTGCCGCCTCTGTGTAACTATTGTAATAAGCCACAGGAAATCTCTAGTCCAATTTTCCTTTTCGAATCTAAGCAATTTATCAGGATAATTTTCTTTCTTTAAGCTCTTTAATAAACAAACCCCAGAAGGGCAGCCTTCACCTCTTTGTATCTTGGCAGTGGTGCACAACTACTTAAGCACTAAGGTGAATGAAGTCAGTAATTTGCATGACATTGTTGTGAGCAATGAGTACTGCCTTTATTTACTACCCTTTTGGTCTCCCGAGTTAAAGGGTGCACCAAAAGAGGAATCAGGTTTACAGAAAGGAAGAGTTGGGAGGTGATGTACCAACAAGGGGTTCTTGGCAAGATGTTTTGAGAATGAAGCCTCAAGGCCCTATGACAAAAAACAAAAAGTTCCTCAAAAACAAAAAACAAAACAACAACAGAAAACCCAAACAAAAACAAACCTATGGGTGGGGCACGTGCAGATTTCAAGTCCTCGTGCCAAGGAACTCTGTCCAGAAGGAGCTTCCCTGGTTTAACCCTCGAAAATGTGGCCCATCTCTAGTGAAACAGGTGCGTGCTACAAGCACAGGTTTTTCTTGTGGAGAGAAAAAGGGCAATCTGGGGTTCTCTTCTGTTAAAAGACGGTAAGAAAGCCGAGCGTGGTGGCACACGCCTGTAATCCCAGCACTCGGGAGGCTGAAGCAGGAGGATGGTTGTGAGTTTGAGACCAGCCTGGGCTAAAAGCTGAGCTCAAGGCCGGCCTGCATAGCGAGACCCTGTTTCAAAAAGACAAAAAAAAAAAAAAAAAAAAAAACAAGTGTTTCAGCCCTTACCTTTCCTGGTTCTGCTCCCTACCTCAAGAATT